GAACAAGATTTTTGTCAACACCATTTGCATGAACTCCCGGCCCCCCTTAGTAGACAGTGTGGTGGAAGTTACTTGTATAAGCTGATAGTGAGATATGAAAATGACTTATGTCCACACCGATACCATATTAATCCACCTCATCTAAACTTCTAATAGATTTAACATGAGATAGAATTTTTTATGATAGTTTCAACCCTTTTCAAATCAGATACATAAATAGTTAAGAAAAAAAGGACGTTATAAATACACAAAGTGTTATACAAGTATATATCATTGGAAGTTGTATGTGAGTTAAGGATAGTTATATGGAGTTGCATGTTTGAACTTCAAGTTCAAACCACTCCCTCCAACCCATTTAATAACTTGTGGGTCGGGTCATCCCACATGGGCGACCCCACGACCCGTATTTTTCTAACACTTCCTGATTTGGAGTCGTCTCTCACTTGTATTGGGTTTCTCATGACCGCTTGTATGATCATCAACTCAATGTTGCTGAAGTCTTGGAGTGAATGCTGATAGAGGATGATAGATAGCTAGACTAGTGGGCACTTTCGCATTCAAGTACCTATCTAGGATAACTTTTTGGGTTTTGGTTGTGTATGGATTTTAAGTTGAAAAGTAAGCTTGGAATACGAAGATCTTAGTACTTGTTTGTAATAACTCTTTGACTCTTTGAGATTTGTTTGAACTGTCTTATAAAAGAAAAAAAAAATGTTGTGTATGGATCACATGCTTAAAAGTAAAACTTGAATTCAAGATTACTTGGGTAAGGACTTTTCACTGCATGGACAGCAATTTTAATCCTTTTAAAGGCTTTAGTGTTAGTATACTCTGTTGGATAATTTCATCATATTTGGGGCCACACGTTATATATTAAGATGTATAATGCTATTATTTACATGATATTAGTCAATTAAAGTGATCCATTAAAAATGAAATTTGACTAATGGGTATTATGTTTCATGGAAATATAGTGTAGAGACCGGAGTGTTGTTTTAAATTGATGAGGGGCCAATTTGAAGCAACTGAAAGATAGTGACTATTGAGTTGTTACTATTATTTTATATGGTTATGGTCCCCATCTGTTGGTGTTCTTGAAGTTCT